TGAGTCGAGACGAGTTGTTGCTAGCTTAACTGTGAAGACCGAGATTTAGGCCCTGTTGGGAGCTTGTGCCAGCCCAAAAGCTGCTTCTGCTAGAAGCTGCCCCAAACAGTCCACAACTTCTGAGAATCTATAGTTACATATACTAAAAAATGAACTAAGAAAACAGAAGCTGGAGAAGCTGGGTTTCAGAGCTTTTTCAGATCCTATTTCTTAGAATGTAAAGCTCACCGAACAGACCCTTAATGGAAATGTTCGGTTGATCTTCCAAGCGGGAAGTCCAGCACTCATTTTTCTGCTTCGTTCACGCGACGGTACGACGCCATTTGACAATTAGAAGGTGTAGTACATTGTCTTTGCCTTCTCTACATATGACCAGACAAAATGAAAAGAAACATACTTTCTAGATTGGCAAATATTCATGTAGTATATGTCACGTAATTAATCTCAGACTAGTCTAGTACGGTACAACGACAGCAAGACAAACGGCGGCCAATGGCTCAGAGGCGCATGTCGCCGACAGTGACGCCAATTGATTCATTGCTTCGGGTGAGGCATCAGCGAGCGTACATCGATCGATAGTGAACTTAGTGATGACTAAACGCTACAAATCGCTGCACATATATATCAATCATGGACAAATGCAGATTAATTGTCACGGACAATGACGAGCACTTGAAAAAAACGGCTCATATATTGTACCATGTCAGCTGAAAAATATTCAAAATAACCGTGGGCGGTACGCAGCGGCGAGAAATGTCTACCATGCGCGAAGAAAAATGGAGCAGATAAGATAGCTACGTGCTGTTCATTTTACGGAAGCAAAATAGTTTACCTTTGGTTGAGTGATTCATATCCTGCATACTATATTCAAAATTAAATAACCGTTTGTCCGTTTTCACCATCAAAATCGTTTGTTCCATATCCGTCGCTTCCAGAATTATGGTTGCATAGTGTTAGTGTATGGCTGTGTTTGGATACAAACTTCAGTTCTTTTCCATCACATCAACATGTCATACATACACAATTTTTCAGTCATATCATCTCTAATTTCAACCAAAATCCAAACTTTACACTGAACTAAAGATAGCCTATTATTAGTAGTCAGTAGAGTACAAAACTTCACGTCAATTTTTTGCTTTTTTTTAAAAAAACAAGTCATCTCCAAGTCGTCACGTCATCACCGTAATGATCGGCTAAGGTGGTGTTTGGATCTAGGGACTTAACTTTAGTCCATATATTTAGATACTAATTTAGAGTATTAAATATAGACTACTTACAAAACTAATTATACAAATGAAAGCTAATTCACGAGACAATTTTTTTAAGCCTAATTAATCCATGATTAGAGAATGTTTACTGTAGCATCACATAGGCTAATCATGGATTAATTAGACTCAATAGATTCGTCTCACGAATTAGTCTAAGATTATAGATGGTTTTTATTAATAGTCTAAGTTTAATATTTATAATTAGTGTCCAAACATCCGATGTGATAGATACTTAAAATTAGTCCCATCTAAACAGAGTCTAAAGCTAGCATTTCGCGGAACGCGTCGTCTAAGGAAATCTATGACAGCCAATTGAATTCCTCGTAGTACATGTCCAAGCTCATCTTATGCTCATGCATCACAGACAAGTGATAAATTGGCATTTTACTATTCGTACTTTGACCGATAATGACATACAGTAGTAAAATTGAGCAGCAAAGGTTAGTGTCCTTGTAACACTCTGCACCTGGTTTAGTGATATGTCTTCCAGATAACACCAGGAATATGAGTTAAGATAACAAAAACTCTGCCCTAGTCAGGAATATGATGATGTGGATATTGACCGTAAGGCAGGGTCCATACCGAACATGCATAATTCTTCAAAAATTCACGGGAATTTCAATCGGTTTGTTGCTTACAGTATCACATATTGCAGAATTTGAATTAAGATTACTGAATTGTTAGTACAAGAGCATGCATGACGCCATTCCCCTGGACTCCTAGTTCCATTAGTACAAGGACTGGGCTTACGAGATACAGTAAGAAACTACAAGGACGGCGCTCACGACAAGCACTTGAATTAGTAGAATCCAAGAGCATGACACCGTTTCCCTTGTACCGTTAATACCGCTGCTTCAACTTGCTTCCTTTTTTCTTCCCTTCTAAAGTCAGCGAGTACTTTTCCGGTTGCAATGAACATGAACTTGTACATCACAATTCACAGCCTCCAAGCAGCTTCCAGCTAAGCAAGCAGCTACAGTAAACTTAAGTCGAAGGTGCTAGTGTCTAGTAGGCTACTTGCTGGCCGACTGTTATGCGGATAATAAATCGTACGATGTATCAGTATAAAAGGGTGAAAAGGGATATAATCTATTGGTTATGGTGACCTGAGTAACATCCTAATGTTTTGAGTTTAAATCTTCATATGAGTGAATTTTAGATTGATATATCCCAAAGTCTTTAGTTCAAATCTCCTTAGCAGTAAATTTCAGACTGAGTTGTTTGCGGGACTAACGCCGCATTTGTTTCTCTAGCTTGGGAACTCATTCCCTCCGAAAAAAAACGGAGCAGTCCATTAGCGCATAATTAATTAAATATGAGTTTTTTTTTTCAAAAATGGGTCAATATGATTTTTAAGCAACTTTCATATATAATTTTTTTTTGCAAAAAAACACCATTTAGCAGTTTGAAAAGCGTATGCGCGGAACACGAGGGAAATGGTTGGGAACAAAGAGCAACGAACATAGCCTAAGTTACCAATTTGAATGACCTCGTATATCTGATTGGATGCGGATGCCAGACAAAAATCCCCTTCTCTAAAATAAATAAATAAATTTGTATAAAAAGTATTTATGGATACATTTTATATACATATGTTATTAGTGTCAGTGTCAGGGTTATGATACCATATACCTAATAGTAATTGACTAAATCTCGGCAGGACCCACCACATACCATGTCCTATACGGAAACAACCTGCGGATATAGGAGAAGTTCTTGATAAGGAAAGACAACCTGAGTTCTACATGAAAACAACAAGGATTACTCGAATTGTATCCATATTGGTTTCCTTAGTTCTACTTGGACAAAGGGACACCTATGGGTATAAATACAAGGCCCCATAGGAGGAGAGGGGACGATCAACACCCGAGACAATCAACACCCACCACAATCTACGGAACAATAGATCAAGACAGAAGCCACAACATACAAGCCAACACACGCTAAGACAAGACGCCAGATATCGACTTCAGAGATAGGCACGGCTAGTCCCCTACGGTGTTTCTAGGTACTGTCAGGAGAGACGAAAGCGCTATCTCTGATCTCGCCGGGCACGAACTTAAGGAGGAAGGCTACCCTGTTGTCGACTACGAGTCAGACCTTCAGACTACCATGTCGACAACAGTTAGATACGCTACCCCAAATATTGTACTAGTGTGATTATGGTGAATAAGAGTAATACTGGCTTCAACCAACAGGATGTAAGGTTATTACCTGACAATTCAGGGGCCCGAACCTGTATAAAAATCCTCGTCTCCGTCTCTTTTACCTCAGTCTCACGTATATCCTAGTACCAACGATCCCCATACCATGCAAATACCGAAATCGTGACATCAAACGTCGACAATTAGTGATTAGAAGATAATGCTGAAAACTAATAAGAGGGCTTAGAGAATGCACAAAATGGATGAATCAACCAGCAATGGGGTGTACCGTGTACCGTCAGAAACCGTGGTTGCCGCCTTGCCGGCCGCCATATCGCCTTGCATCCGCTTGCCACTTGCCAATTCGCATGGGTGTGTGGCCGTCTGTGTGTGAGGCGTCCAAACGGTTGTTTCTTGGCTCCCTGCCTGAGCATGTTTAAATGATGGTCATGATCTGACCTGACACGTGGGCTAATCCACGTCATCCACGTGCGTGGAAGATCAAACTAAAAATTGACACTCCCTCCCTCCCTAAACAATATTACAATCACTTTCAAACTTTGACATGGTTTCTAATATGCCATTTTCACCAAATTATTTCCAATAAAAAGAGTCTCATATTATATTACATATTATAATAGTTTGTTTAAAGATAAGACTATTAACACCATTTTCACGATATCAATATTTATGATCTTTTATTGATCGTTAAAGTTAAAAAGTGTTTATATTTGTTTAACGGAGAGAGTAGAATATTCAGTATATTGGTTACCAGATGGAACTTCACTTGTTGCCACGGAAATATAGGTTCATAGAAGAGAGAATTTAGAACATAGATTGATCATTTAAAAAACCTAAAAATTAGTTGTTGTGGCATCATGGGAAAAGAGAAATAGTAAAGATAATGTAGAACATAAATTAATTCTCGGAGTGCTAGAAACAATTAATATAATATAACTTAAGGAGAGAAGAGAGATGACAATGATTTGTAAAGAAGAAATCACTAAACCTTACGCATAGTGTTAAAATGTCATAAACTAACGAAATGCTTTAACTTAGGAATAATAAAATGAGTGAACAACACTTTAAACCACCATTTATTATCCAAACTCTCTTTGCAAGTACATCAATAGTCTCAAGAAGACGGTACGGTCGGTACCCTCATGCGGATGTTCTCTTTTACTTCATCCCCCTAAAAAAAAGCCAATCTAGAAGAAGATGTGACCCCTCCTAATACAATCCTAATTCGTTGTGGTAGGAGGGGTCACATCCTCTTCTAGATTAGCTTTTTTTTTTTTACGGAGGAACCCGTACATGAGGAAAAGTTGGATACTTGGATTGGATATACTAGCCAGACAAAAGTGAAAAAAAAATGTATAAAATGTGATCTAAAATAAACTTTGGGTAATAAAACGTGGCAAACCATCTCATGCCGAAAACTAAAAACAGACACTGTTAAATCTCTCGAGCATCATGCTATCACAACGGTGTATAATTTTAAGCATTCGTCAGTGATATATCACAGGATAGCGCATGTACTGTGCTTCAAAGCCGAGTTGCTTCAAGCTAACTTCTAGAGAGTTTTGACTTCAGTTTTATGAGTTCCAGTTTACGCTTTGTTCCTTTTTTTTTCCACTGTACAAATACATATCCATTTACATTCATCACCGTTACATCAAGATGAAAATAGAGAGAAATTTCAGATTCTATGGACGTTCAAATGCTGATTATACTCCAGCCAAAAATAATAATAAAAAAAAGCTGATTATACTCTCGCAAAAAAAAAAACTGATTATACACTGGCAGTAGCAGTACATGTATTATACACTTCGCTTAGCGCGCGAAGGCCTCGGTCCCCACCTTAATGGCGCCAAACCCGCCGGCGCGCGCCGCTAGGCCGTCTGCCGAGGCGCCCCGCCTCACCGGCGGCGTGGCCTTCAGCGTGGTGTCCGCGACGAACTCGCACGGCGCGTCCTCGGCGATGGTCCCCATCGCCGCGCCCTTCTTCCTCGGCGCCGGGACGGCGGCCGCCGCCTCCTCGAAGGGCCCCTTCTTCCCCGCCGGCGCCTCGCGATAATACCCAACCTTCTTGGCTGCCCCCACCGCCGGCTCGGCCGCGACGCGCCGCTGCCTCGACGCGGCGCGGACGAGGTCGTCGACGTCGCGGGAGCTCAGCCCCCGCAGGCGCATCGTCGCCGTCGCGGTCGCCGGCCTGCCGAACCCGCGGCCGACCGCGACGGCCTCCATCGCCGCCGGCACGCGGCCCGCGCACCCGGACATGCCGCGCACGTAGAGGTCGCAGGCCGAGTCGCACGCCCGCGACAGCGCCCGGAACGGCGCCCCCAGGCACCCGCCGCCGCCGCTCCCGCCCTTCTTCTTCATCTCTCTCCGCTCCGGCCGCTCCGCGCGCGCTGCGTCGAATTGGCTTCTCGCGCTGGCACGAGGAAGAGTGGCTCGCTGTCCTACTACTACTAGTAGTACTAGCTTTGATTGCTTTGGTCGGCTTCGGGATTTCGTCTACGGGGCTCGAGGCTTCCCGTTTTATAGAGCAATGTCAACGGGTGGCGGTGACGTCGGCGAGGAGACGAAGGCGGCATCTCGTTCCATCGCGTCTCCACCTGGTTGCAAAGTCTTGAATTGGCAATCTGCTCCGCTCATCGGTGGGGCCGATCGAGGCGGTTTTCAGGCGCGGGTTTAACTCATGGAAATGGTCAGGTTTCGCGTGTATTTTTGCTCGATTTCGTCCACGGTTTTGGGATAGGATCGATTGATCGAGATGGCAAGGTTGAGCAGAGCTGTGTCGGGAGAATTTAGGATATTCCTCGGTAAATTCAATAAATTTTAGTTGAATTTGACTGTTTCAAACTTAAATTCCTGAGAGAGAAATCCCCTAATCTTAAAGTATTGAGAACAATTCGGAAATTTTACTTGGAGTCTACTTTCATCCCATAATGGAACCTTAAAATTTTATGGTTTTCGATTGGTTTTCGTCGAAAACGTAAAGATCGGTGAGCGGTGAGGTGCACCTTGTCTGAGTCAGTTCAAGTTAACAGTGTGTGTGGAAATGTGATTAAGTTATTACGTTCAGCTAAGCCGTCGCAGTTGCTTGTTTCAGCGCTGCAACTGCAAAGTGGAAAGGGTAAAAAGGAGTCATCAAATCTGTTGGAAGAAATGCGATGTTATTAGTTCTTTATGATGCTATATGCTAATCTTTCTTGCCCGTGAGAGAAGTTACCGTAAGCTGGCTGTTGATGTTGGAATTGCGAAGACCTAAGGCGAAAAATGGCAGAAAAACACACCGCCGTCACATCATGTTAAAAGCGAAGAAATGTTGAGCGCGTTAAGGAATGGACTAGGAGCAAGTGATGAAGTGAAACACTGATGAGAAGCTTTGCTTTACCAGGACATTTTCATTTTTGTGCGTTTCTGTAAAGCCATTTCGTTTCGATGACACAGAGAATTTTTCATTTTGAGACTTGAAGAAGAGTACCTGTCCTCGAGAATCCAGAGCTTGACATTTCGCACCAAGACAATCACTCAAAATGCGCGTGTTAAATTTTCCCAGAGATAAGAGACTGTTCAGTTCTCAGAAAGAAATAAAACGTCTGAACTCTTGTCCAAAGCCAAACCGTCTGCTCAATCTTTTTTTTCCGGGCTGGCGAAAAGATGCCAACCGATTTTTATTAAGCAAAGCACTCCATCTTAAAATATAACAACTGATAGCTTTCATAATTTATTTAAAATATAACAACTTCTTCACAAATATTCTTTTCTCAACCAATCATAATCCTTCACCATTCAAAATTTTCCATTTACCTTCCCTTCTCCGCCAATCAACATTCTCATTAACTATATATAAATCTAAAACTTCTTATATTCTGATACAGATGTAATACATTACCAGAGATACAATGAGGAAGACCATATATAATGCATTAAAGGGGTTCAATGAGACAAATCCTCCACTCAGCCTGCCCAACGACACCCACTCTAGCTGCAACGATGTTCCTATCATCGCGCCCTTCCTTTTCGCGGTGCGTCTTAAGACGGTCACCTTGCAATAAATAACCTTCTTGGTTGTTCCTATAGTAAGCTTCGGTTCGGTCTTGATTTAGCACAGCGGACGAGGCTGTTGTCATCGAGAGGAGGTGAGGGAACAAGTTTCATAATATAGTCAAATGCCAGCTTTAAAAAATTGACGCATCATTTACATCCACTCTAATAGTCTACCCATATAATTATTTTATTAAATATATATCGCACAATTAATACTTAACCCACCTCTCATACAAACGTAATATATTTGAATTCCGTACTGCTCGTTTTTGTTCTATCTTCTTTTCTCACTCCACATGTATTTATTTCTCACTCCTCCATATGTATTTATAGGTGTACTTGGTCTTAAGAGAGAGTACAGAATAAGAAGCTAGTGCGCAGGCCAAGGAGGAGGTAGACAAGGCTAGTGGATGATTGATTCGTGCGATTAGATCAAACTCATTCCTTCTTAGGGTGTGTTTAGGTCATACTAAAATTGTAATTAAATTTGATTAAAATTGAAACGATGTGATAAAAAAGTTGGAAGTTTTTGTGTGTAAGAAAGTCTTGATGTGATGGAAAAGTTGGAAGTTTGAAGAAAAAGTTGAGAACTAAACTAGACCTTAGGTTGTCACCGTGTTTAGTTGCAAACTTTTTTTTCAAACTTCCAACTTTTCAATCACATCAAAACTTTCCTACACACACAAACTTCCAACTTTTTCGTCACATCGTTCCAATTTCAATCAAACTTCCAGTTTTACTGTGAGTTCACACTAAAACTTGAAGTTTGGTTAAAATTGGAACGATGTGTTTAAAAAGTTGGAAGTTTATATGTGTAGGAAAGTTTTGTTGTGATGAAAAAGTTGGAAGTTTGAAGAATTATTTTGGAACTAAACACGGCCATAATCCCGGTAGTCTTCGGCTTTTACATTTTTATTCTTTGAATTCCTACATGGGTTCATGATCATCTCGTTTTTCCTTTTTCAGCAGACCAAAACAGTTCAGTTTACACGGTCTAAATTCGGTCCCCTTTGGTAGGCTGTTTTTTAAAACAGCTTGTATAGTTGTATGTATATTTTGCCTTATCTTTTATAATTGTTTTAATTCGTGCCAAGTTTGTAAGTATAAAAGTTATATATACATAATTTTTTTTCACTGGCTAAGAGTACGTGGACCATAATTCATTGGGTAATTTTACCATTCTTGAAAAGTTACTAAAAGTTATTACACTTTCTATTGTGAAATTTGGTACCTCTAGATAAGTACCTCAATGTAAAAAATTTATGTAAAATTTAGATATCTCAAGATACTTTTTTAAGAACCATAAAATTTTCATAATTGAAAAGGAAACAGCCCGAAAAAGAAATGTAGGCGGGCCTACCACTACCAGTACACATTCGTGAGTATCGTCGATCCTGCGTTTTACAGAGAAAATAAACTATTTTGGACAACATTACAGACAGGAAAATTTACTGATAGAGTCCTAAAATTTCCAACAATACCTTGGACGTATTAGGGGAGCTTAAAATTCTAAAAAACAATTGGTCAGTAGCCAGTTTCTGAGAATCTGAAAAAGTTGGATTTCACAGCTTCTAGCTTCTAATTCATTTTCTGGATTCTACAAGTACAGTTTCTTAGAATCTAAATAACTGTACTTGTAGAATCCAGAAAACTAAACTGTTCGGAAGAGCTTCTGATTTTGGAAGAAGTTGCAGTAGTTAGAAACTCCCCCAAACAGACCCTTAGGGTGTGTTTGAGAAGGAGAGGATTGAGGAGATTGAGAAGATACGCAAAACGAGGTAAGCCATTCGCACATGATTAATTGAGTATTAATTATTTTAAACTTCAAAAATAGATTAATATGATTTTTTAAAGCAACTTTCCTATAGAATTTTTTTTGCAAAAAACACACCGTTTAGTAGTTCGGGAAGCGTGCGCGCGGAAAACAAAACTATCTTTCTCTCTTTCTCCTGCTCTCAAACGTAGCCTAAGGCTGCATTCCTTTGGGTGATAAGGAGTGAGAATGCACATCGTTTTCCGCGCGCACGCTTCCCAAACTACTAAACAGTGTGTTTTTTGCAAAAAATTTCTATATGAAAGTTGCTTTAAAAAATCATATTAATCTATTTTTAAAATTTAAAATAGTTAATACTCAATTAATTATGAGTTAATGGCTTATCTCGTTTTATATATCTTTTCAATTTTCTCAATCCCCTTCTTCTCAAACACAATCTTAGTGGAGCTTATACGGAGAAGTTGCAACTGAAGCTCCCATAAACATTTCGGCATGCTATTTCTGCTGCGCTGCTAACCCCGTTCGGTGGTGGGCCCCTTCTGTCAGTCACCTTCCAATTCCCCTTGGGCACTTCCCCAGTGGCAGTTACCCTATTCATTTTTTTTCCTCTTCCCGGTCACAACTCCAATTTTGAACTCCACCGCCGCCATCGAGGTCGTCCGCGGTCCGCACCGAGCTCCGTGGATTCCTCCGCCGTCGCCGAGCCTATCTGAGCGCGCGATGGCCACGGATCCGAGAGGTCGGCGGCCGCGGCACCACGCGGCGGTGAACGAAGTGCTCTCGACGCTCGCCGCCGCCAACAGCACCCTCGCCGACGTGCAGCGCCGCCTCGACGCCGACTTCCGCGCCGCCTACCCGGATCACGTCAGTAAGCTAGCCCCTCCTCCTTGCTGGATTCTCCCCCACCCCCCCGCGCGGCGAGGCTGATGCGTTTCGCGGTCTCCCCGCGTGCTGCGTTTTTTTTTTTCAGGCGAATCCGGTGAAGCTGGTGGCGCGGCTGAAGCGGATCCAGGAAGAGGTAGCGGCGGTCAAGGGACTCTGCCGCGATCTGCTCACCCAGAAGCAGGTTACCCAAAACTTCGAATCGACCACCAAATGCGCGGGCTCCGCCCTTCTTTTTTTTTTTTCCGCGACTGACGCCTATAGTGTTCGTTGCGTGCACAGGAGTTGATCGACGCAATGCGGACAAGCCTCGCGGTGCAGCGCAGCGCCGTGCAGCGGCTGCTCGCCTCCTCCGGGCTGCCCCCCATGTCCGAAGAGGACGCCGCCACCGACGCCAATCTCAACCAGGTGAATTCACCCCCACCGTCCCCTCCTCCAGTCATTCGTCAAGACAAATCTAACATAATTTTACCAACCTGTGTGCGCGCTTGCAGATCATCGATGAGTGGACGGCGCATGTTGGGCCAGACACAGGTCATCTTCTACCTTGCTCTGCTGTTCGTTGCAGCGATTGTTACTGATTCGTGATTGGAAACTGACCGCAACCGTTAGTTGCAAATGCTTTGTTACTGATTCGTGACTGGAATTTGACTGTAACGGGTCCCTTTTACAGGAGATGACAAGGATGAGGATACCAACCAAATCTTCTTCGCCGCTGTCGTTTAGAGCGAGTGAGAGCGGCCACAACCTAGAGCAGAATTCTATGCAAAGTCAGGAGGTCTCATGCTCTGCTGCTCATGTCATTGTTTTGTGTGTTTTGGCGAGAAGAGCTGCCCGTGCTGCAGCATGCGGTCTCAATTTGCAGATCCATTTCTACAATGAAGGCCAGCGTACTGGAGCTGGCCGCGATGGAGATTCTACTTCACACATCTGTTGCTGTTGTGGAGAGAATTGATTAGAAAATCGTAGACTTTGATTGGATTGCGGTGTGGTTAGCAGGAGAGTATAAAACTGAGAGCCTGTTAGCTCCTCTCTCGCTTTTCTTTTTGTGTGTGTTATTTTACTTTTCTCATACTCAACCTTTGTAGAATATGCTGTTGAATAGTACAAAGTGAGGGAAAAATTTTGCTTCGTATAAGCAGGTTGATGCAGATTGTGATATGCTTTTTTCCCTCTTTTTTGAGGAACAGTTGATGATGAGTTTGTCAACAAGGAATTGTGTTGTTGAGTGCACACGAAAACTGAGGATTTCTTGGTTTGGGAAAGTTATTCTGTGCTTGCAATCTCCTTTCAATTCTGGACAAGAACACTTGCTCTGAGCAAGAGCCCAGCAAAAAAAATCGCTGGGAACTTCCCTGAACAAAAGATACATCTCAGATAGTCATGTACTGGTTTTGAAAAATTATACTACAATTTCTCTCTTGCCATCATATAGAGCACAGATAGACAATAACCTAAGCTACTAATCTGCGCACTATAAACAGGTACCTGAACACAAACATCAATATGAAAATAAATACATAACCCGAAACATGTAATATAAATTAGGGGCAATTACTTATTTGACCTTGTTTTGAACTGTAATTGCCGATTTGACCCTACTTTTTGAACTTTGCTTATTTGACGCTCCTTTTCGAGTACGAAGCTTCCGTCTGACCCTCTTTCGCTGACTCCGTTAAGGTTCAATTTTAAAAAAAAAAGAAAATGTTTCCAGAGTTCCTAATGGCAAAAATACACTCCAAAGCCAAACCCTATTCTGACTCTTTCTCTCTCTCTCTCACTCGCGCGTACCTCTCTCTCACTTGTGCGTGCGTGCGGCGGCGGTGAGTACGCGTGCGGCGGGGGCTAGCTAAGGGGGCGGCGAGCTGAGGGGGCGGCGGCGGCGTCAAGCACAGCCCCGCCGGCGCCCGCTCGTTGTGGTGGAGGGCGGCGGTAGCGGCGCGTCCGGTCCGGGTCGGCGCCGATCTGTGGGGGGAGACGGCGGCGAGCTGAGGCAGCGGCGGCGACGTGATGTACAGCCACGCCGGCGCCCGCTCGTGGAGGTGGAGGCCAGCGGCGGCGGCGGTTTGATGGGGCGCGGGGCGGCGCCGATCTGAGGGGGTGAGGGCGGCGAGTTGTGGGGGCTGCGGCGGCGGCGGGTGCTACACGCGGCGACGGTGGGAGGGCGGCGGCGGCGGCGAGCTGTGGGGGCGGCGAGGTCGATGGCGTCGACGAGCCACCGCGCGCGGCCGGCGTCGTAGCGCGCCGAGCGGACCTCGCGGAGGAGGCGGGTGCGGGGGAGGTCTGGGAGGGAGCAGCCCGCCTCTCCGCCGTCGCCCGCCTCGTCCGCCTCTTCGCCGCCACCCGCCTCGCCCACCTCTCCACCGCTGCTCGCCTCGCCCGCCTCTCCGCCGCCGCCCACTTGCCTCTCCGCCTCGTTCGCCACCGCCCGCCCCCGCTCACCGTCGACCGCACCGCCGTGCGCACCGTCCGCCACTGTCATGCCGACTGCCGAGAGAGTGAGGTCGATGGCGTCGATGCTGTCCAATTTTTTTTAACAAAATCTATCATAATTGCTTCGAATTTGACAATTTTTAGTAAAATCTTTCAAAATGAATTAAATTTCTCAAATTTATGCCAAATCTGTCATAATTGGGGCACATTTTATTTAATTTATTTTCACAAAATTCTGTCAAATTTAAGTCAAATTTCACAAAATGATTCGAATCTGTCAAATTAATGCCAAATCTGTTACTTGAGCAAAAATTATTACAAATATTTCAACATTGTTGAATATATACAGTCAAACAAGCAAACAAAAGGGATATAACAGGGTCAAATAAGCAAGGGCAAAATGGACTATTTACCCCTAAATTAACACCGTCACCTCACCCAAACGGAATAGGGTCAGACCGGAGCTTCGTACTCGAAAAGGAGGGTCAAATAAGCAAAGTTCAAAAGTAGGGCCAATTCGGCAATTACAGTTCAAAACAGGGTCAAATAAGCAATTGCCCCTATAAATTAGCAAACGATAGCACATTCAAACATTAAGAGAAATTATGAATATGAGTTTCGTTCAATCTTTGAATTTGATATGGACAGAAAAACTTGATAATTACCCCTCATCTGTTATCTTTGTGCAATGGCACATGATATGTTTGCGTCAACCTTATGGGATGTAGAAGAGACTAAATATCAGACTATCTCCTTTCCTGCATCATCAGTGCCTCTCTACAAAAGGCTGTCAACAGAGCTCTCAAGCTGAACAACACAAAATTCAGAGGAAAATTTCTTACAGAATAAGTTCATTAAAAATTATCTTTGTTAAAATTAACCCTTGTAAAATCGACTGAGAATGTCCCATCAGAAAGCAAGACAAAAGCCCCTTTCTCATACATCAAGTTACAACAAATCTTTCTCGTTTTTGCTTCATCATAATTCATTCAAATAGTACATAAATGCTATGAGAACTGAGAAATATCCATGCACTCTTTTCATCAAAAATCGTAATTCAGTTCCCTAATAGGGAAAATAATGCTTTATTAGTACACTAAAATCATAATCTACTCCCATTTGTTCAAAGTTTGTTACATTTTGGGACGGAGATAATACTTTACTTCATTCAAATAATAACACTAGTTCAATTCCCAAGTATAAATGGGTAAGACAGATAATACTTTGTCACACACACACACACACACACACACACACACACACACACACACACACACACACACACACACACACACACACACACACACACACACACACACACACACACACACACACACATATATATATATATATATATATATATATATATATATATATATATATATATATATATATATATTTGCACACAATTTATATCAAAAATCAAATGGCCACAACTGCCCTGCTTCTGACAAATACAATAATACTAGGTTTCTTAGCAATTAAAGAATACTATTTTTCTTTAGCGTTTCTATAAAACTAAAAAAAAATACAAACGTCGTGAAGAAAGTACAAGTTTCAGAATTGAATTTTCGTATAATCAGTATTCAGTAGGCTCCAGTACATCAATCAGCCCCTTGTTACCACCACCATTTACATTAGATATTTAGAGACAGTGTAAGGGAGCGTTGCAGCATAGAATGCAGATCAGTACAACTGTAGAAGGCAACCACTCTGTCTACGAATGAGTTGAAACGCATGGAGCAGAAAAAGGGTTGGATCTTGGATGGGAATGGGATCAACAAGACCAAGCTAGTTTACAGCTCGCAGCATCCAGCTGAGGTACGATCCTTGTGTCCTGATAATACGACTCCTCGTGCCATCCCAGGACCTCCTCGTCGTCGTCAATGGCAAGAGGGCCGGAACGACGGGGATGTACGCGACTACGCGGCCGCAGACGCGCCCGGTGTGCGGCCGTGCGGCAAGCCGGCAAGTCGGTGGTGAGAGCAAGGTGTTGCATCGGCTGTGTGGCGGAGAGACAGCGGCCGGCGTCAAGAAGAGGCAAATGCACCTGTGAAGCTTCTGGCGCGGGAGAGCAGAGGAGGGGCGGCGGCGGTAGGAGAGTAGGAGAGACTAGAGAGGAGACTGCGGCGACCGGCCGGCCCGTGCTCTGATGGACCGTTCGGGCTAGATCCAACGGTAGAAATCGCTCCAGCCTCCAGTCCCACCACGGATGGTAACAGTTTTGCATAAAGCCCCCTTCTTATCTATGATCGCGCTACCACTGGAACACTGGAAGTGGACCTATTTGTTTTCATAAAACCCCCTATTTTGCCCTAAGTTGTGCATAACCCCCCCCCCCCCACCTGTTTTGGACCGCTACAGTATTTCGCTACCAATGAGTACAGTACAGAATTGGGCTATTTCAAAAAGATCCCTGGTAGTGATATTTTATGCGATGTGTATCCTTCCCGAGCACGCACACTCGCCGCCGCACTCCACTTCCCCAACACGCCGCCGCCGCCGCCGCCGCCCGAGCTCGCCGCGATGTCATGGCTCGCGCGCTCAATCGCGGCTACCCTCTCTTCTTCCCACTCTGATGAAGATGGCGATAACCTCGAGGCGAGCAGCGGCGACGACCATAGGGACGAGCAGCCGGACACCCCGAGCGGCGGCGGCGGCGGAGTCAAGGGCGACTTGTCGGAGCTGACCGACTCCCTCACCCGCGGCCTCTGGGGCGTCGCTTCCTTCCTCGCTCCGCCGCCTGCGCCCGCCGCCGAAGCCGCGGAGACGGCTACGGGGGCGGTGGGGGAGGGGGAGGATGGGGCTCGGTCGCCGCGGATCGCCGGGATCCGGAGCGACCTGGCGGAGATCGGGGGCAGGGTGAGGAGCGGAATCTCGTTGCTCTCGAACGCCAACGCCGTGGCGGAGATCTCCAAGATCGCCTCGTCGCTCCTGCCGTTCGGGCCCGGAGAGGACGACGACGACGACGACGATGCCGAGGCTGTGGGCGTGACCGAGGAGGTGGTGGAGTTCGTGAGGCACATCTCGACCCATCCCGAGACGTGGCTCGACTTCCCCTTGTTTGTCAACGACCGGCACGCGGATGGTAAGAGGCAGTAGTATGAAACTTCTCTTCCTGGATCTCTTCAGCGTTTGTAGTGCTTTGGTTTGCTTGCATAGAATGCTGGATTGGTTATTTTGGTCTATTATACATTCATTTAGGAGACCATTGGTTCCAGTTGCTTCAGTGCTTAGGCTTCTTGCTCTGTTCGCTCTGATACTAAGATTGTGGGATCTTCTGTCATAATTTTAGCAGCTTGGCTCCAGTCATGTTTATTTACTAAGGTTTAATGTGGGAAGGGTAGTTACTTACAATTAAGAGTGGCACTCAATTCTTAAGATCATGTTATTTTGAAATTGAGTTCATTTGTTTACATGTATGAAGGTTTGCCAGGAAATTGTAATTCATGTTAATAGAAACTTTTATTACTTCATGTGGTTGCATTTGCTGATGTTAGTTAGACAGAGTAGGTACATGAACTGAGGTGGGTTAATCGTTTGTTTTACTCTAGTATCGCTAGGGCTGTAGTTCAAAATTTCACATTTGGATTGTATTAATTCAAAGGGATAATTAGTAAATAGAAAGTTCGTTTGCCAAAATGAAAAAAAGAGAGTAGGAATGGCTTGTAATTAAGGAAGGTTTAAAAGTATCGAACACAAACCTTAATGTCGCATTTCAGTAATCTTGCTTTTTGTAAAAATGTCTAATGAGACTTAGATCACTTGACATGTAAGAACTGTATGAAACCATCATTTCTGCTGATACATCAGTATTAACTATGCATTTATCAGAGGCTGTATGCTATAATCGACTTCACCGGAGACATTGAGAAACAATAAATTAAACGAGGGACAAACTATTACACAAACTTGTAACACACATACAACACTGCAATCTGATTAATCACCTAACCAACAAGGCAACATCAGAATAGGGGTTTTGTCACAAATTAATTCAACTGTCGAATCATCACTTTAACCTTTAGTGTTACTATTTCGGTCAAATAGCTCCAAGAGTTGAATGCTCCCTACACTTTGTGGAAGTCTAGCTATATCCAAGGATTCAACGTCGCTAATGATGTGATTACATGTGCAAAATCTAATGGGATCAAAGTATATTTCATCCAACAAATTTATTATACATTAGCTTTTTTACATGGGTTTAATATATGAATTTCTAATGTTCTGTTATTTATAGCATGATCACTACTTGCCCCTGTCTCTCAGAAATGCTGACCATGGTTTCCTATTTTTATTTGCTTTTATACCTTTTGGTTCTAACTTGCCATAGTACTAGGTAACAACTGTGTTCTGGAAATTGGAATGGCTAGAACTCGTTAACCTGTTACATATGCATATGGCCATCTTCAATATGTAGGGAATTACTGTTAAATGGAGGCCATGCATGTATATTGTTCCATCATGTCAGTCATGCCTTACTTGTCGTGCCTGACTGGTTTCCTCAATTCCTTTGCTTACTGCAATGCTTCTTGCGTACAGATTTTGAACTGTCAGACACACAATATGGACATGCATTGGCTATAGAGCGTGTTGTTCCAAGCTTGTCATATCTTAGGACCGAGCTTTGCTCTACCAATATGAGTGAAGCATGCTTTTGGAAGATCTATTTTGTGCTTCTTCACTCAAAACTCAGCAAGCAAGATGCTGAACTTCTTTCAACGCCACAGGTATATTCCCTGCTCTTCAGCATATTCTGTCTTTATGGCAAACATTCTTAAGTAATTACGGATTATCATGTCAACTTGTTACAATGCATGCTTTCCTACACATAGCCCCATAACCTTTTTTTTTTAACAAACCGTCTATGCATATATATTACCAAATGGTATATCTTGTTTCCAAGTTACAAACTATGATAAGTCAGGTGTGTAAGGAGAATGTAACTATGTATGAACTTAAGAATGTAAGTTACCGAAGCCCAAAAGTTGCATTAGATTGTGGCTGCCAGTGTGGGAGCATAAACATAGAGGATTACTTTTATGCTTGTGTAAGCGTACAATCAATATTTGGGCTCCACTTCTCATTATAGCATCAAAATTGGGCATTCTTCACTTCTCATTGTAGCATCAAGAATTTGTTGCAAGTTTCAACCGACAAAACAAAGCTAAACTACAGGCATATATTTAGTTAATTATCATGTTGAATATATCCAGTCTTGTCAATTCTTTTGGTGGAAACACTTGGCAGTGCTGAAAAATCATAGCCTTCCAAAGGGAAATATCAGTGACGTTGTAGAACTCTAAACCAGTATCCAGAACAGCAGGAGGATATGCTTGAGACCTTCGTATTTGTGATTTTGAACTGATTTTATATTATATGTTCGGAATTATGCATCTAAGCATGTAGATCTGCATTCCCAATTTAATTATGTATGCTATCAGCACATGTGAAGGCTGTGTAACGTTTGATTACTAATCATATAGTCCATGTATGCATGCCCCTATAGCTCACGTTGAGAACATGTAACAGATGTATAGATTGTCGATCATACTGTATATTTTGTTGTTAAGTTACTATCAGTATATATGCAGTAGCAATTTTCTTGTAATTAGTACCCTATCTCGCACCCCCCCCCCCAAAAAAAAAAAAAATTTCCCAGGATTTGATTTTTTTTGTGGGATACAGGGAGTACATTGTAACAGAAAATCCTTATTGCATTGTTTTTACTCCACTGGAAGGTCCATTGCGCATACACTTTTGCTGCATTTCACCTTCTTTATCTTTTATTTCATTCAGATCCTAAAAGCAAGAGAAGTATTATTGCAAAGTTCACCGACAAAGAAAAGGCTGGGACCTGATGATGGTTCATCACAAAACTGGAATGTTGCATCTACCAAAGGTGACAACAGTGGAATGTCTGAAGCACCTTCATTGGAAGAAGCAACTTCTGTACCGATGAATGTGGTTGAGGCTGACAAGCATCCGATTTCAGTCGCTGAGGTGGAAATAATAGACAAGTCCGTGGTTGAAGAAGAGCTGGTGGTGAAAAATGAGACCAAGAGTATACCTTCTGACTCTGAGAAGGCTAATCTGCATATCACCTCGGACGATGATGATAAAGAGGTGGAGGACTGGCTGAAGGATGTGGCTCCTGTGTCCAGCAAAACAGGCAACGTCAATTCAGCAGGGCAGGAGGAAGACATATCCTTCAGTGATCTGGAGGATGAAGAGGATGATTGAGAGACGGCTAGCTTAAGCAGCGCAGCCAGTACTAGTTCCCTCGGTTCAATGTCGCAAACACAAGACAACGGCTAGCTTCATGAAGAACATCAACTGTTACTGAATGATCGAAACTCTGCAGCTACAGCAAAGGGAACCGTGTTGTTGCTGAGTGACGGATTCATCCTAATTGCATGTTGATGTAATGATGTATTTATGTTCGCTCTCTTTTTGTACATAGATATATACACTATGTCACCTGCGTGTGCACTGTATATCCACGATAGCGTGCAGCACTCATACTTACTGGATTCTGAATGCAAGATATCCTCTCATTTGCTGTCAAATGTCTTAGAATATCTTATGACGCATTTAAGCTGGCACTACGCAAAACTCGACACACTTCCCCTCTTACTCTAGTGCTATACGAAATTCGAAGCTGATATACTTATCTACCCGGTATTCCCTCGTCTCTAATGATAACATTCGTGATTTATATGTCGTCGTCATCAGCAGTTTCCAATGTCGACATACATCTGCATCCCCAAAACAGTCTCTGTACCGCTAACTCCAGCAGAGCGGACCATAAACCGCTCGACGCCTCGACGGAGCGGAGCGGAGGCGGACGACACCACGCCAACGGCTCACGTTTCTCGCTCTCGCTGCCTCGACATGCAATGCAAACGCGCGTGCCGCGCGGCTATCAACCGCCGAAACGCCTAACGCCGGCGCTGACCCTCCCCGTCCCCTCCCCTACCTGGCCCCTGCAGGGTGTGGTCCCCACTCCGCGCCTTGCTTCTGCTGCGGGCTCCACCTGTCAGCCATCCCCAGGCTGCTTCTGCTGCGGGCGTCGCGTGTGCTACGTGACGACAAGCGCCATCTCTCCTCGCCTGATTACAAAAGCACACGCGCTCCGCGTTCGCGTTGCCTCTATCGCGCTTCCACCATTCGGCCGCATCAGTTTCTGGTCACCACGCTCTCGCTCGCTAGCTTCGTCGGAGAGACCGAGAGATCGATCATGGAGGCGGAGGCGGAGACGACGGTGGCCGTGACGACGGGCGGCGAGGGGGAGATCGTGAGGGGGAGGAAGCTGCTGAGCCACGGCAAGGTGTTCGTGGGAGGGGTGCCGCTGGGGACGAGCGAGTCCGAGCTCCGCGCCCACTTCTCGCGGTTCGGCACGGTGGCCTTCGTCGGCGCGCCCAAGAACAAGCAGACGGGCGCCGCGCGCGGCTTCGCGTTCGTGCAGTTCGTCAACCCCGACGACGCCGCCGCCGCCATCGCCGCGGGGCCCGACCGCAACGTCATCCGCGGCACCACGGTATACACACGCACACCCCAGGCCAGATCCGGTCCTGATCGATCTCATGCATCAATCACACACGCTATCTTCTCATCTCTTCGATCTCCGTCGGGTGATCTCACTCGATCTGTCCTTGATTTACATGTTCTCGTCCTCTTGCATCATGCATGCTTTGCTTCCGCGGCCCGGGTGCAAGTGAAAGAGCGTGGGATCATCGATTTTTTGCTTTGCTGCGACGAGGTTGGCTTCTTGCGTTGTTGCATGGTGGACTTAGCTCGTAGCATCGTGTTGCTCGGCGGCGCGGTGGGTTAGTTTCTGTTCAGTACTCGTCGTCGACCTGTGACCAGTTGACCGCAGTATTAGTTAACTCTTAAGTCTTAACTAAGTGATGGTTAGAGCTTGATTAGAAATGGTATGCTTTTGGTGATATGTTAATTCTGTCTATATGCGTCCTTGGTATCATAAATTTACGTGTAGCTGCGAATTACAGCTGACCTGTGTTTGAATCATAATTTAGATGTAATTATTATAGATTAGTGGTAAGAGTATGATTCGTTCTGCTCATATACAATTGATTGTATTTAAGGCATTGTAAAGTTATTTTTAGCTCTGACGAAAACTTTAGTTCTTACTGTTAATTTCTTTCTTTGTGACTTACTTTGCTAATGTGGTTCGTCGTCCACAGGAGTAAAAGGTGTCCCTTATTATTAGCTAACTGGGATTGTTTGATTTTCACGTGTTGTGCCCAAGTGTTACGAATGAATTACATTATACTTTTATATTAAACTAGCATAGTGGCCCACAGAAATTGCGCAGCGAGCATCCTTATATTTTCTCTTATATAATAGCATATATTTTTTCTTATTTTATTCTTAAAATATATTAAAATAATAACATAATTTTAATTTTGTACTAACTTTACCAAACTACCAATGTATAATATTTATATTGTATTGTATATACATGATAGTTATTAATTATTTAGTATCGGAGTTTGGTTATTTCTAAATTATATTTCTATATGGAGTTTAGACTCATCTTCCAATATTCTTTATTTTTTAATTCTAAATTTCTATTACTTATAAAATTTATTCCTATATTTCTCATTTTAAAATTTAGAATTTCAGTTATTTCTAAATTATACTCATGTGTGGACTCTAAACTCCTCTTCCAATATTCCTTTTTTTTAATTAGGAATTTTCTTTATTTGTAAATTGTATTTTTATATGAACTCTAGGCTTTTATCCCAATATTTCTTATTTTTTAATTATGAATTTTCATTATTTCTAATTGTATTTCTATGTGGACTCTAAACTCATATTTCAATATTCTTTATTTTTTTATTTCTGATTTTCAGCAACTTCTAAATTATATTCCTATATGGACTTTGTACTCTTCTTCCAGTATATATTTTATAATTTCAAATCTTAGTTATTTATAAATTATATTTCTATATGGACTCTAAACTCTAATTTTAATTTTATTATTTTTATTTCAAATTTTAATTAATTCTAAATTCCTATATGGACTTTATACTCTTCTTCCAATATTCCTTACTTTCTTATTCCGAATTTCAATTATTTCTTACTTGTAATCCTATATGAACTCTATACTCTTCGTCTAATATTCTTTATTTTTTCATTCCGAATTTCAGTTATTTCTAAATTGTATTTCCATATTGACTCTATACTCTTCTTTCAATATTCGTTTTTATTTTGAATTTCAATTATTACTAAATTTTATTTCTATATTGACTCTATACACCACAAATGGACCTTTAATTTGATATGTAGCTAGCCTGCTTGCGTGTAGTTGTAGTTTACGATCGATTTGCCACTCACATGGATTCACTTCATGTAGGACCACCAGGCCTCGCGCGCGCGTGTGTGTGTGGGTGCGCGCGGGTGTGTTTGTGTGTGTGACACAATATATTTTTCATACTTACTAATTATATTCGAACACATGAGCTGTTCTCTAGTACATACAATGTTGATCAACTCTACTGGTTTTTTCCCCAGATGGATATCAAGTTAGCCCAACTAAAGCCATCAGCCGGCGGCCCACAACTCAGTCCAGGTGACCAGAAGAGGAAGATTTTCGTTGGCGGCTTGCCGGTGTCCGCCACCGAAAAGAAGCTCAAAGAATACTTCAACAAATTCGGCGAGGTCAATCGGGCAATCGTGGTCATCGACCTTAACACGAAGATGCCCAGGGGGTTCGGCTTCATCCAGTTCGCATCGGAGGAGTCCACAGCGAGGGCGCTCAAGAAGGACAAACACTTCCTCTGTGGCCAGTGGGTGGAGGTGAGCCTTGCAATGCCCAAGCAGCAGAATGCAGCTTCTGGCACTAGCAAATTGTCAGTTCAGGCTCGCCCGTTTTATCCGACGACATCATCAAACTTCACAACCGCCGCTAATTATCCTGACGTCGTTAATATTGTCCCTATGGTGACACCTATGAACTGCGTCATCAGCAATGCTTTTAACCCTCATATCGGCTTTGAGGTACCCGGGATGATACTTAGTGATGGTGTGAGCAATTCTGTCAGTGCTAATTACTCCTACCAGAACCCCTACTTGGGAGGTGGTGGTGTTCAGCCTCAAGGCTCGGCGGTGTATCTTCAAGCAGCACATTATTATAGTGGTGTGATGATGTGAAGCTCAGAAGCTGTTCCAATCTATGCCTAATTATCAAGTCATAGTGTCACACAATATATGTGGTTTATTTACTTCATTTAATTTTCTTCAATCTTGCTTGTTCGTTTAAAGAACTCATGGTATTTAGTTTCAACTATTTGCTCTGGCGAAGTTCGATGTACTCACTTCCCTGAATTTTTCGATGTGTGTAATAGTGAGCTAGGTCGGGAAGAATTATGATTTCTTAACTAACTATCTAAATGGCTAGATATATATAATCTCTATACACAGACTTTCAAGTTAAGTTTTTAATAGTTTTGGGTGTCAAGTGTTTTCCCAAGGTTTATTTACCTTTGTTTCTTAAACATCATGTCCAGCTCATTTTTGTAAGAACATAATTTTGAAAACATGCATATGCTTTTTATTTATGTCATTCTTAAGTACTCATTTTCAGATCTTTTACATATGCATATGTTTAGTATTCGGTACTTAAGAGTGATTTATGGTCCTTGATAGAGGTACGAATAACTCCTCTTTTAATCTCAAGGAGGGATGTAAATCACTTCAGCAAACATAAAAGTGGACATTTTATGTTGTCTATGGACTATATGCATGGCAATTGATTGTATTTATACAAGGTTTCTAAATAAGCAAGAACAATGCATGCATACCATAGTGAAATGCAGATCAACGTGTGTGCTAAATTAATAAGTCCAGATAGATTAACGTGTTCAATTAATATTCAGATTAGTACATATATATCTCCATTAATATTCCTGCTGTTGCTACATAAAAAATATAAATTGACTACATATGGATAAATATATTGTTCTAAAGCATTTTTCACAATTTTATTTTAACTTTTTTTATGTAATGGAAGTAATTAACTTCTCGCTACAGCAGATTAAACTATGTATATGTGCATGGATCACATTGCCATTCATAAGTTTTTACCAATTAAGATATATATTATGCGCTACCAATGCCCATTTATCTACTAGTCAACTGTGTGTCATCACATTAAATTTCAGAGATTACTGTTATTGGTCAAAATTGACAAATATATATAGTCAAATGAGACGCTTTCGTGCCTTTTTAATTTATGATCACTCGTTAACATTTCGTTATAGTTGATTAACAAAAACAATGCGATTGACTATATTCTTTTGTTGAGCAGATAACAAAACTCCTGATCGATATTGTGGGAATGTGGGTTCGCTCTTCAATTCTCTCTATTATTGATTGGCTGTGAAGGCTGTTTCCCAAGCGATTGATATGGTCATCTGGCTAGCTGTTTGAAGACTAGCTAGCTAAGTTGATCATACTGTTGAATGAAGCCAAAATATTTTCCCTTTTTTGTTAATTACATCATCATCATTTATCTAGAATTCCTGATTATGTTGGCTACTCGTACCTGCTGCATGCATGGTCTAGGATCATATGAACTTTTTTCTTTTTCTGAACGTTGAGAAAAGAACCTGCTAATATGTTAATCTGGTGTTGTCTGGCGTGTATATGCAGCCGGATATATATACATGTATATGAAGGAACTGCCAACATGGGTTAATCAGCGGTAACATTTGCATTTCTCATGACACATTTTGAAGCTTTTTCTTCTTGAGCTATCATTATGGTTACCCAGGAGGCAGCCAGCTAGCAGGTATTGCTTCTGAAGAAATAATGATGATACATGATCCATATTGCATCTAACTAGTTATAACTACCATTGCTATCTCCTGGTCCTGACGTATCTGCAGGTAACGAACGAACTGACAATGCACCATCAGGCATCGATCAGATCACACCACAAGCCACCGTGGCTCAGACCTTGGGTCAACACGGCCCGACCCACGTGCATCCCTACCGCTGACCCTCTCCTCCCTCCCCTCCCCTAGCTACCTGGCCCTGCAGGGTGTGGTCCCCACTCCGCGTCTTGCTTTCCCGGAGAGGCGGAGACGCCGGCCCCACCTGTCAGTCATCCTCAGGCGGCTTTGGGCTTTGGCTGCGTGCGTCGCGTGTGCTGCGTGACGACCGCACCATGTCTCTCCTCGCCTGATTACAAAAACACACGCTCCGCGCGCGTTCGCGTTGCCTCGATCGCGCTTCCACAATTCGGCCGCATCAGTTTCTGGTCATCACGCTCGCTCGCTCTCTCGCTCGCTAGCTTCGTCGGAGAGATCCCGAGAGATCATGGAGGCGGAGGCGGAGACGTCGACGGTGACCGTGACGACGGGCGGCGAGGGGGAGGAAGCTGCTGAGCCACGGCAAGGTGTTCGTGGGAGGGGTGCCGCTGGGGACAAGCGAGTCCGAGCTCCGCGCCCACTTCTCGCAGTTCGGCACGGTGGCCTTCGTCGGCGCGCCCAAGAACAAGCGCTTCGTGCATGCAGTTCGTGAACCCCGACGACGCCGCCGCCGCCATCGCCGCGGGACCCAACCGCAACGTCCGTCCTTCGCGGCACCACGGTATACACACACACATACCCCAGATCATCCGGTCCTCCCATCGATCACACGCTCTCGTCTCATCTCTTCTTCTCCGTCGGGTGATCGATCTCACTCGATGTGTCCTTGATTTACATGTTCTTGTCCTCTTGCATCATGCATGCTTTGCTTCCGCGCCCGGGTGCAAGTGAAAGAGCGTGGGATCGTCGATTTTTTGCTTTCCTGCGACGAGGTTGGCTTCTTGCTTTGTTGCATGGTGGGCTTAGCTCGTAGCATCGTGTTGCTCGCGGCGCGGTGGGTTGGTGATTCTGTTCAGTACTGTCGTCGTCGTCGTTGCTATCCGTGACCAGGTGACCGCAGTATTAGTTAACTCTCTTAACTAAGTGATGGTTAGAGCTTGATTAGAAATGGTATGCTTTTGGTGCTCTGTTAATTCTGTCTATATACGAGTCCTTGGTATCATAAATTTACGTGTAGCTGGCGAGTTGTAGCTGAGCTGTGTTTAATTGCATCATAATTTAGATGTAATGATTATAGATTAGTGGTAAAAGTAAGATTCGTTCTGCTCATACAATTGATTAATATTTAAGGCATTGTAAGGTTTTTTTATATTCCGACGAAAACTTTAGTTCTTGCTGCTAATTTCTCTCTTTGTTTTTTTAAAGAAGGCAAAAGCTTTGCCTTGTATATATTAATAAAGCAGGAGAAAATTAGTGAGATATATACAGGGTTAGCCGAAAGAGAGCAAGAACCCGCAAAAAAGAAGACAAAAAAAAATAGGTATTAAGTGATATCTCCCAAAATTACAAACTCCTGCAGGATTGAAGCCCCCTGCTTTGACCCATGCTCTTCCTTCCTCCTTGATCTTTGTCAAAATTGAGGACGGCGCCGATGCATTGTTGCGGAATATTCTTGCGTTTCGTTCGCACCAGATTTTCCACGGGATTAAAATCACCAAGGTCCTGAGGGGCCTGCGCGGGGTGCTTGGGGACTCCGCTACGAGGGTCCAACATTGATCGACTGAGTGACAGTTTTCCCAATTGTCCATCTGAAGGTCAGTCCTGGTCCATCTCTGAATTTCTGCCCATATCCTCTTTGTGAGTCTGCATTTGGCCAGGAGGTGTAATGCCGATTCGTCAACAGTGTAGCAAAGTGGGCAAATCTTTTGGTTTTGCCATCCTCTTTTCTCCAGCCTTTCTGTCATCCATACTCTGTTTTGCGTGACCAGCCAAGAGAAGAATTTGCACTTCGGCAGCGCCTAGGCCTTCTAGATTGACTGATAGAAGACGGATTTGGCAGCCCCAAAGAATTGAAGTCGATAGGCCGATTTGCCGAGTGCTGCCCATTTGCTGTGAGGTTCCATCGAATGCTACCATGGCTCTCGCTAATTTCTCTCTTTGTGACTTATTTTGCTAATGTGGTTCGTCGTCAACAAGAGTACATGTAGCTAGCTGGGATTGTTTGATTTCACGTGTTGTGCCCAAGTGTTACGGATGAATTGCATTCTGTTTTAATTTTATATTAAATTATGGAAGATCATGCCATGATAGGGTTTCGGACTAAGGCTGGGTGCATATATAGAACACCTCCTAGTCTCCAACTTCTTGTGCTTGCTAGGGCCTAGGGCACTCAAGGTCAGACGTGTGAGGATGGCATTTTTGCATGTGTGCACCCAAATCTTCATTTTAGCGTGGGACTGAGCAAATTCAATATACATGTAGCTTAGGATATGTGTTCATATGTAGCTAGCCCGCAAATTCAATATATATCTCCAAAATTAAATAACACATTTTGCATGTGTACACCCAAACCCAAAGTTTTAATTTACACCACAAATGGACCTTTAATTTGATACGTAGCTAGCCTGCTTGCGTGTAGTTGTAGTTTAGGATCGATTTGCCACTCACACAAATTTTACTTCATGTAGGACCATCAGGTCTCATGTGCATGTGTGTGTGTGTGTGACACATTTGTGTGTCTCTCTGTGTGTGTGACACAATATATTTTTCATACTTACAAATTATATTTGGACACATGAGCTATATAGCTGTTCTCTAGTACATACAATGTTGATCAACTCTACTAATTTTTTCCCTAGATGGATGTCAAGTTAGCTCAACCAAAGCCATCAGCCGGTGGCCCACAACTCAGTCCAGGTGACCAGAAGAGGAAGATTTTTGTCGACAGCTTGCCGGCGTCCGTCACCAAATAGCAGCTCAAAGAATACTTCAGCAACTTCGGCGAGGTCAACCGGGCAATCGTGGTCACCGACCTTAACACGAAGATGCCCAGGGGGTTCGGCCTCATCCAGTTCGCGTCGGAGGAGTCCACAGCGAGGGCGCTCAAGAAGGACAGACACTTCCTCTGTGGCCAGTGGGTGGAGGTGAGCCTTGCAATGCCCAAGCAGCAGAATGCAGCTTCTGGCACTAGCAAATTGTCAGTTCAGGCTCGCCCATTTTATCTGGCGACATCATCAAACTTTACCGCCGCCCCAACCACGTCTCACGTTTAGCCCATTTAGCCTGATATAACTGTTTGACAAGCTAACCACTAAATGTCTTACCCACTATTTAAAATAT